TTTTTAAATTATTGTTGTAGTGTCTGGATTGCTGAATGTGAAAGCTGCCAACAGCCGATTCTGTTCCACTGCTCCAAATACGTTCTGGGATTGTAATATTGTAACAGATTTCCCAAGAAGCAGGAGCCATGGAGATTGTGTAGTATATAGCCTCCAAAGTATTTTTTGTTGTTTTTTTATTTTAAAAATGTGATGTATTATTAGAAGGTTAAAGATGAGCGATACGAACAATAACTAAATGTCTTGATATTTCAATTTAATAATTTAAATTATTTACAGTTTAGTGAAGTTAAGGAAACTGAAGAGATGCATTCCTCAGCTCCAGGTTTCATCTCATACAGAAACACTACTGGATGGAATACCATTCTGGCAAAAGTTTGAATGCATAAGGAGCTCTGTGGAACTATACTGGAAAATCTCAAATGGATCATATATAGACCTAAGTTTTTGGTCAGTTGATTCTTTCCCCTGCCATAGAAAAGACTTCTTAAAGACTTCAGTGTAAAGTTGGTGTGTAAATATATGTTTGATAATTGTAAAGCACATATGTACACAGAGACACAGACACACATGCACACTGGAAAATAACCTACTTTTGTTCCCCCTATGTACTATGATTAGTTCAAGAAATCGCAGCCAAGGGCTCTAAGAAATTTAAAACAAAATGGTTAATAACATCAACATTTAAATTGTCCACTTAAAAAATAAATAATTCAAATGATACTGAACGTGTCTATAGTGTGTTCATTAATTAGTGTTATGACAGTTACTTAGTTGGATAATGTTTGTGAGGTTTTTTTTCCTTTATGATAGACTGATGAGTTTTGTTTCTTTTTTGAGAAAAAAGATCTCAAATGTTTGAGATCTTTTTCCTTAGTTTATTCATCAACATTCAGCAATTTCAATCTTAAGCAATTACATTTGAGCAACTCAGTAAGATTTAAGGTATGTGTTCCTATATCTTTACAAATTCTGAATGCATGTTACTGTTATATTTTTGGGGGACATGGTTAGTAGCACTTTTAGGAAAGAAGTTATAGATCAAGATTTATAGGAAATACCAGGACAAAAAACTCCATGGTATCTGCAAGATACATAAGAAGCCTAGCTGCATATTGTCTTACACGGGCAGGTACTTTGCATGGATGTCTATGCTTAGCAATACATGTCTAGGTATTGTCTATAGGCAAATATATAAATTTTTGAATAGTGCCTGAAGTTGGTCTCCTAAACCTGTATTTAAAGATTGAAAAAAAATTGAAAAATATGTTAGCATTTTTTTACTACTGAGCTCTCAGCAAGTCTCCAAAATCAATATGAAATCTGTCCGGTTCATGCTTGTGAAAAACTAGGCTTAAAGAAAAATCTAAATATTTTTTAAAAACCAGCTCTTGTACAAACAGCATAAAAATAACTTGTTAGAGCGTGCTAGATAAATATTATTCCTGGAGTTTAAACAGAATTTGACTTAGAACCTTTCACCCCATTAATAATTTCTGAGACCAGCTGAAAATACTTGATGGTGCTTGGATAGTTTCATTCCTTTGTTTGCTTCTCAGCATTTCTACAAAATGCATCAAAAAGTCCTAATCTTTCTTATCTTGTGTTTAAGAATCTTTCTTTTGACCTGTTTGAGGATATCTAAATTCAAGCTAGGATTTTTCTAAGTGGCCTGGAAACCTCAGCTAATGATGAGCTGGGACTGCCAAGAGAACTACAATACTCTTGAAGGCAGTGGTTCAAGCAATAATAATTTTCAACCTTACTAGAGAATGCAATCGTAACCAAAAATATCCTCTGAGGCTCAAGTCATGGCTTAAGACTTCCCAAACTCTTCAGTCCAGACATCATAATGGAGAAAAATCTGTCTAATTTTGAATGAGGTATTTTATCCCTGTACTGAAGACATAGGACCCCTTTAAGTATGCCCTGCCAACCGTTAACACCTGAAAGACAGAAGCAAAAGAGCCCATGAGGTTATGCCTTGAAGGTATAAAAGGTTTCTCATGCCACACAGGGAGCATTTAGTTCCTGTAATGAGAAGACACTATTGCCTGTTCATGATATTTGCAGTCAACCTGCTTGACTTGGTGAGTTTACTAAAAACTATATATGGTAGTTGCTAGTACAGTCCATAAAACTAGTATAGGATCTTCTAAACTTCATTTACCATTAAAATGCTATCATTTACTTGAGAAATTGCACAGTATTTCTAGTCTAAATTGCTTTCTATAGTGTAATATCCTATTATTAGCCAGTTGAATTGTGAAAAAGGTATAAAATGAGTCAGGAATTCCTTTTCCAATGAATGGACTATTAGTTGTTATGCCTCCTTCACCTCTGTTTTTCATGGTACTGTGGCTATTTCAGACTACTGAAAGAAGTGACAAGAGAACACCAGCATTCATTAGAACATAGCTTCAAGGTAAGAAAGCTGGGTAGGAAAACCAAACACAGAAAGTGTAGTCAATTATGAGGAGGGTAAGAGACATTTGATATTAAAAAATAAAGCTTTATTCAACTAAGAAGGTCCTTCCAATGTAAGTATTTACAGGCAACCTACAATAGAAGTGGAGAACCTAGGATGTTTTTAAAAAGCCCTAAGGGTATTTCTACAGAAAAGGAGTCAGTTACATTTCTCATTGAAGGAAGGCTACCTTGGGAAGCAGAAAGGAAATTGAGACACTGCCATGTGCTTTGACTGCTATGTGTCCCTTCCTAAGAAAATCATAGGCATGTGGAAGAATAAAGCAGTAAATAATTGTTTAAATAATCAGTTCACATAATCATGTTCTTTGAATGGCAATTCCTTGCTATTACCTCTCTAATAATTTAATTCCTGTGATGTTTTTGATCTTAGTATTCTGAGTAACTCATGGCTACTCTTATTTTCTATCTGAAGAATTCAAGATTTTCAAATAAATTCTGTCTTACACAAAAGTAAAATAATTCTATTTTCTGGTTGTTTAAGAAAACTGAGGCATGTTAAAACTAGGAAGTTAAAACTAGGAAGTCTGGGCCAAAGATAGGTGCTGAAATGAAATCCCTTGACTCTTGGTCATCCACCTGGATAAATCATGCAAGTAAATTTGCATCTATTTTCTCAGTTCTCAGGTTTATCAGTAATGCAGCACACTGCCAGGTGAAAGAACTGCATTAATACAGCTGGGATTTCACTTCACCTGGGCAACAATGACATTCACAGAAGAGATGTTCCATCTGCTGCAACAAGAATGCCATCTGTCCTTTTATCATTTGCACTCCATACAGCAAAACAAGTTTCAAAAGGATAAAGGTGTCCTTAAACAGTCCTTATCCACAGATCCGATTGGTTATGATTTTCCAAGGGTGGAATAGTGGAGACACTGAGGGTCAGTAAAGTAGGTGAAATACTATCTCTTGGATTCTTCCCAAATAGAGGTTCTCGCAAGCTGAAAAACTCATTGCCCCATCCAATCCTTCAATCTTTGTCTAAAAGGAGTAAGTACCCATAAAAGACAGGAGAGATAATGGGTAAGAATTATTGAAGTTTTCCAGTATTTAATGATACCCTAGTGAAAGATTTTTTTCTTAGAACTACTTTTGAAGTTGTTATTGCCCAGGTCATTTATCATTGCATAACACCCTTTCACTAACATTGTTAACTATTGTGTGTCAACTAATTGTTTTCACAAAGAGTGAAAGTTTTGCTATTAATTTGTCCAACGTTCTTAATTTTCTCCTGCTGCTGATTCTTCTCCCTCCTCTATCCTCTATTGAATACATATATCTATCTTATTTTTGCCTTTCTTCTGCCCATTAATTTTTGCCACTAAGTTGTTTCTTCTAGAAATGTTACTCCTCATTGTTCTCCCACTCTCTGTGGATTTTTCCACCTTTTGGTTTTTCATGATCTCACTCTTCCTGGAGGATCCTTAAATTTAGGAATCAAAAATAGTCTGCCAGTGGATTTGCTTAAAATGACAACATTTTCCCAAGTTAGTTTGGAAAAAGACCAGGTGACCAGGTTAGCATAGAGCTAACCAGAGTCACTGACCACTTCCCAGTGAACAAAAACAATTACACTTCATGCCAAATGCATGTACAGCTTATGTTCCTTTTGTCTAGTGTGGAACATATGGCTTTGTTGGCCCTGTAAATTGCCTCTGCTGTAGAAAACATGAGAATTCTATCTGGGGAATGGTATATTAGTTGCTGACCTCCGCCAGCCGATAGAAGGTACGTCCTATCTCATTATCTGGATGTGAGGTGCAGAAGTAAATGCAGAGAGGAAGACAGTTTCTTATAAGCAGCCATCTGTATGCCAGTCCATCCTACAGTAACAAAATTCTGCTTAAGGAGTTATCTTCCAAGCCATAAATACAGGCATGCATATTTTTACATATATTGTATTTTATCTAAATAAAAAGAATATATGGCTCAGAACAATACAGAGACAGGTGCTGTCATGGAACAGAAAAAAAATTTACTTAAAACAGATGTAAGTATCAGGTTTCTAAAAAAATAACTCTTCTTACTTACATTTAAAAGAAAATTGCAATGAAGGTGCTGATGCACAGAATTTGCCAAATAACTAATTTTACAATTATTTAAATGCCCTCTTGCCATACTACTAATTACCCTTTTCTGCTTTCTGGAGACAGAACTCCAGAACTGTTCCCTAAAACAAGTCTTGATGTTAAAGATAATTTGACTTGGAAAACCTGATTCTTATCTGCCACCAGTACCTAAAGTGGGAAAGGCAAAATGAAGAAATGGGTATCAGCCTTAGCTCAAGAGAAGTCTCACCAAAAAGCAACTATCACTCAGAATTGTAGTCTTTCTTGTAAATATAAGCAACTTTAACTAAGTTGGGACTGCAAGATGATTTGGAAGCTGCTCTTTGGCAGAGGCTCCTGCTCACTTCAGAGCTGCTGTGAATTCTTTGCCTTCAACCAAAGGCAAGGTTTTGAGGAGAGACACTGCTGCAGCTGGCGCTCAGCTTTTGCCGGGTTCTCAGCTCAGCAGGGGTTGAATAACCCTTGCACTCCAGGAAGCAACTTGATTTCTCCTTGTATAGTATAATCTCTCATTTCCTGAACCAAACGGCTTTTACAGTTGTGACAGTTCCCATCAGTGGCTCCGGACCTAAGATGATACATTGAGATGCCTGCAGGGACAAAGATGGAACAACGGGAGTAGACCTGAGTGGCAGTATGGTGTACTGTTACATATTATCTGGTTTGGGCTATGTATTTTGATTTATGTGGAATTCTTAATAAGCAACATTTCATGTTTTGGCACCACCAAGAGTTAACGCTGCTTACTGCTACAGTAAGTCCCTAAATAGAAATGACAGTTCTAATACAATGCTTTCTACAATTAACCTTTTTTTTTTTTTTTTTTTAGTCCTTGCTTTTTAAAAATTGTCTGACTGCAAACACTGGGGGGAAAAAAAAAAAGCCCTCAATTCCTCTCTGGGCCACATGGATAGATTTTTTCAAAATTGCTTTTTTCCCTGCTAGGACTTTTATTCATCTTCCAGTTAATGTCTTCAGCTCACATAGCTAAACTTCCAACCTACATAGCAAATGCTCTGAGTTTTGGGAGATAGAACATGAAAGCAGGCAGGTGTTCGCATGTAACATTAGTTGTAGTTTACATCTGTAAGTCTCAAATTCATATCTAAAATGATATGTACAGCAGCCGTCAAACCCTGATGCAGTTTCCCTGTTTAAACTGAAACCTTTCCAGTCAACTTACATTGTGCATCATGCATAGGTCTGAAAACTCCCTTCAGCAAAAGGAGACACAATGTAAGCTCCTGCATTAGCCTACTAGAGATAGAGCCACATCTGCAGGTTAGAGTTAATAATAAAGTTCAGTACAGCAGGGACTGAGCAGCAAGGCTTATTAGGGAATTAAGCAGTTCCAAAAGGGCTAAGAAGGTGGCTTTAGCCAGTATGGATGAATGGTTAATGATTAATAGTGATCTGCAACAAATTTGGCAACATTCATTTACTCCTGTTAAGTTTTCTTCTCCTGTAAGTTTCTATTATGATCCACACGTTCACAGGATGGTATTCTACACAGGTAAGGGAAAAAATTATTTAAAGGCAGCCAGGCAGGTCAAAAGTTACTTAAGCTAAGTCCCTTTCTCATTTGATTTGAAAATCTGTAAAATGGCTAGTGAAATTAGAATAACAGAAAATCTGGTTTTCTATAGTGATGTTCACAAAGTTGTTTAGCCCATCATGTTAATATCCTACATATGGATTCAATTATTTAGGACTTTAAAAGGGGTTGCATGCATGTGAAAATATCTTTACATTTTTAGAATTCAGGTACCCTCACCCAGCAAGTCTTTAGGCATTCATTTAATTCTTTTTTAAGCACCAGAAATGTAATTGAATTCCTCAGACAAGAGGAATTTAAATTGGATGGCTTTTTAATTGATAATTTCTATCTACTGAAATTTTACCTTTAAAATTATAATTTTCATCAACTGGAAGAGTAAAGTTTAAGACTAATGTTCAGATTGGAAAACTACTGAAATTATAATAGTAGAATCTGGAAATAAAAGTATGCCCTTAGTGTATAAAAGATGTAGAAAACTTTAAACATATGTAAGAAATATAAAGAAAGCATGTGAGAGGTATGACAGCTTATTCTTATGGCAAGTCAAAGACAAATTCTCAGCTTGGATTCCTCTTCTTAGACTGAAGCATTTAAAAGCTAGATGTCTGATTGATGTCACCAACCCAGCTTCTGTTTATCTCACTGGAGATAAATGACATCACCAGAGCAGAACTTATCTCACCCTAAACTAAGCACCAATATGTCAGACTTTCTGCCTCAGAGATACAGATTTTTCTCCTGCTATACAGGGAGTGGAGGATGACTAGCTCAATTTCACATCTGAAGTTGCATGTAATTTATCATATTTTTAACTTCATATGTTACCAAGTCTATTTAACAGTTTTTCCTAAGGGCGAATAATATTTGAATAAAATACCAGAAAGAGCAAACTTCATTGTTCTTTGCATCAGCCCCAGGTTTGTTTTTTAACCTTGCCACCTGAAAGCAATGTCAACGTGTACATTTTAAGAAACAGTGCCTATAAGCCTGAGATCAAAGACAGTAGATAATTCATGGAATACACAGTGCAATGGATGGTGCCTTTACTTGCTCATTTGTCTCCTCCTACACCAGTGCTTGCAAAGAGCAGGAAAGGCATAAAACAAGTTTCACAAGATTTGTAACTCCTAACACCAGAAAACTTTCTACAAACCCTGTGTGCTGTGAAATTAGTGCATTGTGATGAACAGCTCATCATCGTTTTGAACAGAAGAGGACAAAGTGAATTTTTGATGCAAGATTCTGAAATACAAATTTCAGGGTGCAGTCCATACAACCTGTATCTTGAGCAGGTAGCCTCAACTGGTGTAGGACGTAAGAAAATTAACAGATCTAGCAGGATCAGCCCTGCCCCCCAGTACATAGACAGGACTATTCACAGATGTATTATGTTAACATGGGGCATTTCACTGATATCTATGTAAAGCATTTTCTATGTTTTGGCTTAGTATTCTTACTATTATTATACAATTTGCAAATTTTTGTAAGTGCAAAAACAGCTCTAGAAAATATAGTTGTCTCCACCAATAAAAAAGATGACAGTCATACCTTTTAAAGTTTTCTTAGAGAATCCAAAGAATAAATTTTCACAGGAAAACTAACTAAAGAAAATTAGGATGAGCAAAATTAGGAAAGATACTGGTTTTAAATATGATTTTTCAAGGAAAATGGAATAAATCTGGATGATATTACATAGGGAATGAGGTAAATTCACCTATCTGCTTTGCCTATTTGAATACTTAACTACTGAAAAAATTCCTACCTTCAGGTAACTTTGCCATCATTTCAAAAACCTGATGTGTATTCTTCCGACAGATATCTACTGGATCATCCAAGAGCTCAGTGAGGGCAGAAATTACTCCATTTTGTATCAACTCTTGCCTACAAACAACATTGGAGGACAGATTTAACTAAGCGTAATAAAACTCATATATATTTGCAAGATGCTTAATCTTAATTACTCTTATTTACATTGCCCCTATCTTGCCAAAACACAGAAATTCTGTTCTTATTTCTCACTGAAATATCTTTATTGCTTCTCATACCATTCAGTAAACTCTGGAATTACACCTACCTGCCAACACTATGCATAGCCATTGTATAGAGGATTTGTGTTGTTTTTTGTCGGACACTACTGTCATGATGTAGCAGCAAAGTCTTCAGGTTATCCAAGAATCCTATGAGACACAATAGTTCATTTTAACATTTCTTACCTTCAGCATTAATTTAAAATAGCAATACTCATTTTTATATCACAATTTGAAGTGCCAACAATCAGAATTTTCATCTTGTCCTGATGGTGAAAGTCTCATTATTCTATCTCAAGTAGGGAAGAAACTTTCAAGTTTCAAGGCCTACTGCCAAAAATGCCATGCTACAAACAAGCTGCTGACTTCTGTATCAAGTTAAATCCTAATCTTGCAAGTATTTATGAAGCGACATAACTCTAAAAATAACTCAATGGAGCTACTGATGTTTTTAGAAAAACATGTGTTTGCAGGATTGACACCTACTTTTTTTTAAACTGTCTTTAGGTGTAGCATGGGCTATGTAAAAACACACAGCGTTGCTTTTCACATGTAGAAATTTGGCGAACCATTAACGATTAAGTGTATACACACATAGCACTAACCAAAAAAAACCCCTAAACAACTTCACATTGCTTCAGCAGTTACTGTTAATCAAACAATAACTTAATAAATTTTGAATGTCACTATTGGTATCTCTTATGAGGAAAAAACTGTGAAGGAAGTAAATCGAGAAAAAAGCACTGGCAAACCGTGGGAGTTCTTCAGTGTTACATAATGAGCTAGGTAGATACACAACAGACTGCTAAAAATTGCGAGGATAAGCTTGTGTGGGTTTTTTTTTTTAATTCCAAACTTAGGAGTCTTCCAAGTGCTGGGATAAAAGCTTTTGAACATAGTGGTGGCCAGATACAATCCTGATGAGTATGATAAATTTGGTTATATTGTCTTGTATCTTAATTTCTCATGAAGTTCCAAGGGGGGTTTTTTTGCTATAGCTTCATTCTACAATTGCTAAAGTACTTCTGAGAAGGACATCTGCATAAAAGGCTCTGATGTTTTGTCTCTCCAGTAAAGTTGTATCTGGATGTGCTATGCTACCCACTCCTGAAGGAATCAATGGCAAATGATGACTTCATGGATTTTGCGAATGAACTTGTAAACCTTACTTAAATATTATTTTATTAATTATTAATTAAAAGGTTCATGGGAGTTTTTTTCCTGTTATTATTATGGGATCTGAGATATGAGTATTTTGAGTACCTCAAGCATGAAAAATCCAGGAAGGTACCACTGCCATATGTCATACATGGTAACAAATGTCTAATGAAGGGGAAAAAAAAGGGATTTTGCATTTTTCCTGCTCTGGGATAACTAAAAGCTTTTTTTTTCCCCCTTTCTAAATAAAATATATTTATGAGTTTTATGTTATTAGAAATTCATAAATTCACTGCTTTGTTTTTTCCTGAAAGGTTCATGAATATCAGGATCAGAAGAGATTCCAGGCAAATGAAATTTCATGAAGTAGTAAGGGGGTGGGGAGAGGTGTGTTTCTGCCTTCCGACTAATTAAGCTTTTTTTTTAGCTTATGTTAGGATTTAGCTAAAATACAGAATAAACAAAAGAAAAAAAAAATTCTGCACTACTTTTGTATTTAGGGGTTGATGATAGAACCTATAGTGAGCCACTGATAAATCCTAAAGTGAGGAGACTCTTAAAATAACTGTCCTGTATATGGCATTATAATACTTTCCACCTTTTTAAGGTAAAACAAAAAGATCTTCAGGGCCATTTTGTGTCATCAAAAATACTGCAAAGGAAAAAGTCGCACAAAGTAACGTGTTTCCCCCCACCCACCACTGCATCAAACCTTCTGACAACAGATCACTTACCTACTTCTATTGCCTGGTAGACATTTTCTGGGTTATGGACCAGATCACAGAGCGCCATCAATGCCCGCTGCTGAGTCAGCAGCTCAGGCGACTGCAACTCCTCATTCAGTTTAGGAAGTGCCCTCTTTCCAAATGCAATAGGAGCTTTTGTGGGATCTATATCAGGGGGGAGGTTGGCTGAGATACGAGCATGTGCCATCCCAAATTTTCCTCGGAAGGATTTTCCCTTATCCCTAAAAATACTCCAAAATGACTGTACCTGTTGACTGGACAAATAATGTACCAAAAAGACAAGTACTGATGTTAAGCTGTGCTCTGTGTCCCAGAAGAGCTATTTTAGCACACATTCATTGTTAGGAAGCTATGAAAGAAGAGGGTGGAATAGTTCACGGTCGTCAGCATTAATGTCTGGTCATCAGCTGAATTGTCTTATCTGGTTTAATTCTCTACTGAACACTGTAAAAACATGAGAGAGAAAGCTTAAAATGGCAAGGTGAGGGAGGGGATGTTTTTCAAAGGGTTAAAGTGAAGTAGTCCAATGTCCCGAACCACAGAAGGGGCTCAAAATAATATTAAATCAAAAGCAAACAAAACGTCATTTTTCAAAAGAGCATTCTTTTAAAAGAGGTCTAGCTTAAACCCGCCCTCCGAATTCGTTTACGTTTGAAAGAATCGGTGATGGCTGACCTCCCCCTTCCCTAGGTAAGAAAAACGCCTCATCTGACAGAAGCACACAACCTTCAATATTGAAAACTGTTCAACAACAACAAAAAACCAGCTGCAAAGATAAAACAACTGCTAAAGAACTGCACTTCTCTCCTCAAAACAAAAGAAATAGGCTAAATAACCAAGCCACCCTGTCCCACCAATATGTCGCCGCCTCAGCCCGTCCCCGCTTCCCGCTCCACAGCTCCTACCAGCTTACGCCACCGCCTTTCGCGTCCGCTTGCTCTGGTTGCCACAGCAACCCGCTCTTTGCGTATGCCCCGCTCCGTGAATAAAAACTACGCAGCGAAGCTTACTGAGTCTGGTTCTGCGTCAACAGCGTAATCAACGCGTTTGACGGTGGCTGCTGCGAGAGAGCAGCGCGAACGGCGTAGTTGGCGAATCGGGAGCTGGGGCTGCTGCTAGCGCGGGGCTTGAAGTGCTGCTGTGGGTGGCCGTGGGTGGCTGCACTGAGGCGCAGCGCCTCACGGGGGGAAGCGTGTGAGAAAGTGCGGGAAACGCCGCCATGGGGTTGCGGTGTGGAGGCCATTTTTTCTCGCTCCTTTGCTAAAGCATGGAAGGACGCTCTCTCCTCACCTCCTGTTTTTAAAATTTAAAATATTTCAGAGTGAACAAGGTGGTGGTCGAGTTAATGGCAGAGATAAAGCAGGCAAGTGTCTGAGGTGCAAGGGTTGAAGGGAGCTCAGTAACTTTGGACTAGGTTTTATTTCCTAGTCTTCTCCAGAATGTGACTATAAACAGCTAGAATGTGTAGTAGGGGTTGCCTGCTACAGGGGTTATCATTAGGTAGTTTTGCATAACTGTATTCAAGACTTAGCCATCTTTTTTAGTATTATTCCACCAAAAAGTATAGTGTTGTGAGGAATGAGTGATTCGTGTAAAGAAAATCTAGTGAATATAAGCTGGAAGCAAATGTCATTTATATTGAAATAAAGGAATATATGTAGGGCATGATCATAAACAGGGGAGTGGTGGTAAATAGAAGAAACCATAGTCTTTATGTAACTTCCTGATATGTATAGCTTAGGTAACTCCCTTGATATGTGTAGCTTATGTAGCCTCCTGATATGTGTATGTTAGTTCCTGATATACTAGTGCAAACCCGTGTTGTAGGTAACCGCAGAAATGTTGAGAAGATGTATAGCCAAATAAGGTAGCATTATATAAGCAGAATAACAGAGCGCATGCGCAAACAGAGAGGTCATGCGGAATACACTGACGAAGAGGAGCATCTTCCTCCCAACGACCACCAGACGACCACCTAAAAAAGGGATGAAGCATGCGCAGACCGAGGAAGTGGTGACGCACTTAGAGAAGGAGTCATCTTCCAAGAAAAAGGCAGAGAAAAGCGAGAAACGAAGCCTAGAGAAGTATAAAGGAAGGAATTGTAAGAAGTGAAGGTGTGCGTCTTGGTGGAGCGGAGACTCCCGGCGCACCCAGCGCTGTTTGCTTGCCTCTATTCGTTTAATATATTGTTAACTTAAATTGGAATCCTGTTTGGGACTAAATCATTTATCACAGTGTTGTTCAGAGGATGGTACATAGGGAGAATGTATCATTGCAGTGTTGCTAGCACAATTTAACGGTGCTTTGGATTGTCAGCTGTGATCTGGCATCAGGAAAAAATCTCTGAACAGCTTCTGCTGTAAAAGGTTAGTTTTCTGTGCAAAGAGAGAAGTTGTTGAGATTTTTTTCATTATGTTTGAGTCACAGTTATAATAACCAAAGTTCTTAAACTGGATTTTACAAAGCCAAAGTCATTCAGATCAACTGGATTAAAATAAAATGCAGGAATAGATTCTGGCTTTAAAACCAATAAAAATTACTACCTTAAAAAGTATTTTCTCTAAAGGATTAATTTTTCTGCAACATTTCAGAGCAGATTATTTAAAGTAGAAGTTATTTTCCTGAATTTGATTAGGCTTCCACTAACTATATATTTGTAAAGTTTCACCATATTTCAGCAAAAAAGAGTGTGAATTTTTTTCAATGTAGAGGGGGCAGGAGAAGATCAGAGACTTCTCTTGTCCTTTGGTGTTAACTCTGCTCTCATCCTTTTGGCGTGTGTTCTGTCTTGCGCTTCACCATACCTTGGAGTACTGATTTTGGTTAGTGGTCATGACATTAACTTATTTTATGTACAGTTTCTGAACGCCTTTCTCAAATCCTTTGTCCACAGAATCTGCTGGTGGTCTGTTCCTGCAACATTGATGTAAGGAGGGTTGTGGTGCCATGGAGACACTATTTTCCTAGTCTTCCCTGGTGACTGAATCCCCTTCAGGTCTGTAAGAAGAGAACATCTGGCTCTCAGTACTGATCATTCTTAGTATTTTTAGCAGCTTTGCATTTCTTAAATCATAGATTTTTTTTTTCCTCTAATGGTGTGACTAATTTGTTGAGTTGGTAAATTGGGATATGTTTATGTGTGTGTGACCTTTAGATTAAATAAACTAAATGTAAGTGAAGATGGCTTTTCGGTTTTAAAATGTTTCTGTTTGGTTGCCTTGGTCCCTCCTGTACTTTGGATTCACTGAGATTGTTGAATTGATTTTTAATTTTTTTTTTTAATAGCTTAGTTTGTGAGAGAGCTCTAGGAGACAAGCAGTGAGTCAGCCTATGTACACATGACAGATTTTTACATGCTTAGGATGTAGAACTAGGAGAATACGGAGAAACCAAGTCAGAGTTTGAAACTCTTACCAACTGGCAGGGTTTTTCCTTCTGTTTTGAAAACTATTCGTTAAGGAATTAATGTTGCGGTAAAATCATTCAAACCTGCCAAAAGGGCAGGAGCACACTACAAAAAGGGTCTAGATCTCTCTAGTTTTATATGGTCACGAGCAGCATGATAAATAGAACTATGTATATGGTAATAAATAAATACTGTAGTGTCACCTTCTTTGGTGAATAACCCATCAGCTGCAAATTTGGATTCTTTGGGAGGAAGTGGGTGTTTCAGTGTGGTTGAGATCACATGAGTGCCTGAAGTGATTTAAAAGCAATTCCTCACAAAAGAGAATAAAACATTAATTCTAAGTAGTAGACTAGCAATTTTGTTGAACATTATTCTTAGCGTGGGGTTGTAAAACACAACTGTAGGTTTTTTGTTATGTACTTGTTTAAAATTACTTGTCCACATTGATTTTTCCTTTAACATTTTTAGTCTGCTGCAGGGATGGAAGAGACTTGACTCCTGGATGTTAAGAGGTCCAAGCCTGTTCCAGCATTATCAAAATATGTCTATTAGAATGTGAAAGCTTTCTTTTCTCCTGAATTTCAGAAATATAAATCCTAAATAAATAAATAGCAGAATCTTTTAGCATCCTAAATTGTAATCTAGCATACTAAATGCTGTCTAAACTAATGAGTTGATTAACAATACTTAGGCAATACAAAAGAGCTGTGTGATTTCTTAGTTCTTGTCTTAGTGTTTGGTATGTTAGAAAGCAAGATTACTAATGACTAGAAAGACATTTATATGATTCAGAATGTCTCATTGGTGTCATGCATAATCCTGATTCTAAACATGAGATGAAAACAAGTTGAAATGCTGAAAAAACCCCTCAGGAGTTTCTTTATAATTGCTACTATGCTTAATATTAGCACGGTAACAGTTCCCCACTCCATTAGTTCCTTGTCTGTTGGGTTAATCCTGCTCTTTGTATCCATATATACAACTGTCTTTGAAGAAAAGGGAACTATTTTCTTATACAGGATTAGGGGACCATTGGGTTTATTAATGAGCAGTTTCTGATCAAAGGAACCTGTATGGCCACTAAAACCAGTTTGTTCTTTTAAAACTAGGGCCCTATGTATATAGTTAAATTACTCCAACTCCTCCTTCCCAGCCTGTAAGAAAAGGGGAGGAAAGGAACTGTTGCAAGCCTGTTGCTATGGCCACGCAGCAGCAGGCTGAGCTGTTTGTGTGGCTGGGATCTTGCTGCGTCAGCTGCTGCACGGTGAGTCCTTCCTTACACTTTGCTACATGATGGATGTTCTTATAGAAACATTCTTTTCAATGTCAGTAAGAAATGGGTAACCTATTAAAGGTCCCCTCCCCCAACAACCCACAAGGCTTCATTGCATAACCAAATTGATATGTCTCAAGTGGGGTATCTAAGTGTATTTGTGATTCTCATGTGAACATTATTCTTTTTCCAAGTCAGACTCTCTACTTATTTTATTCTTTCTGAGCTGATCTTGGATGAAAGTTTGATGTTGTGCCAAGAAATGTGGCAGCTTCATCTTTCCTCCTTTCTTGTTCTGACCGAATGAAATCTGGTATCCCCTAACATTTATTAATGTGCTCAGTGCACAGGCATTTCAAAAAAATGGTGAGCAAGCTTTTTAAGTTAAACACTGCAAAATCCTTTGAGGGCTAAACTGCAAGCACTTCTGTTGAATTAAGGGAACAATTCTCTGCCCTCCGATGGAACTTGAGTTGGTGCCTTGTTTCAGAAAGCCACTGTTTGCTACTACAGCTATGCACGCTGAAGTGGTCCCTTTTACATAAGAAAGAGATTTTCTTTAACACAAAGTCAAAGAACTGCCAGTTCAGTTGTTCTAAAAAAAAAAAAGTCTATAAGAACTGTTGATTTTTTTTTTTTAATAATGTTTTCCCTGTATTGAGGCAATTCCTGAATACTATGTTTCTTTTTACAGATTTCCTATCTGGTAGAATTTAATTGTATTTGGAGGATGAAGTCCAGCTTAACGTATTTGGTTCCCCCAGTGAGTAGGGACAGAATAATCTCCCAGTTTCCCAAGGTAAGCATTCTTTTATCCCTCTGGTCACAGTAGGGATAGCACCTGCCACATTGAGCTATTTTTCCCTTGTGCTAACAGTATTTTAATTTAATGTACAGTTTTTGTCTTCTGCAAAAATTACAAATTGTTTAAGGTTTTCTTTCAAAGATGAATGTGACCTCATGTTCCCATTCAATGCTGGTATCTTTAATAATAATCCTCATTTCTTATTTAACCTTTACAGAAAGTGACTCTTGCCACAAAAGGGTTATCTTATAATACCTACCTTGTTATTTCAGCCAAACATTAATAATTACATGCTTAAAGAGTTCCTGTGCCAAGGGGAAATAAGAACCATAGCTGATATTAAATATGCAAAAAGTCTAATTAGATCTGTATGGAGAATTTGAGGCAATTTTCATTTTCTGTTTGTATAGGAACCTTAGTCATACAGTAGATCAAACATAGTAGGCACTGTAGAAACACAGGCAGAAAAGATCATCCATGCCTCCGAAGAGTTTTGTATTTGAAGTATAATAGAGGAGTTAAGGACAGGGAAGGACAAGGAATTACCATTCGTTTTTTCAGTTGTTCTAAAGATCCTCTTAGGGAGTTACCTTTTTTTTTCTATGCTTGATCTCAGCCACATATTTTGTTTATAGTTATGTGAAAACTATCACAGTTATTTTAAGCAATTATAATAAAATACATTTTCCTAATTTTTAACCAATGCCTGATTAAAACTTAGTAATAAAAACAGTGCTCCACACATACAAGAGATCTAAAAGACTTCATAGTAATAACGACTTGCTGGTGGTATGCTCCCATCTGTGTTTGTCTTGTAGTTGTTAGATTACGGGGATAATTTAAGGTACTTGCTATTGTACAGAATAATGAGCAAATGTATTTGGCTGTGGAAGTTTAGTTAGTGCTCAGATGCTGACACTCAGAAAGGTGGTCAAATGATGGTGCTGTCCAAAGGAGTTTTTACAAACGTAACTGTGGGCTTTAGCCTTACTGCCTTCTAACCCAAGCTATCCCTTTTCTCATGCCAGGGTATCCCCGTGCTCAACAACTCTTTGAATTAATCTTCTCCTGTATTTTTTCCTTGCTGATTTGACTTTTGCAAAGTAGACATCACACAGTTTACCCCAATAACTGTTCTCTCCTATTTTCAGTGGTACACACCTGAGGCCTGTCTGCAGCTCAAAGAGCACTTCCATGCACAGGTCAAGACTGCTTGTCAGCAGAGCACGGGAACACTTGGGTAAGTTTGTAATATACCAAGTATGTGATGAAGAAAGTATTTTAAGCTTTTATAGGCTGCTTCCTTCGTAGGCTTTTCCTCTCTTATTCCCCATCTTCCTCACTCCAGTATGTTTCAAGGCAGGTAAGCCCATGCACATGGCAGTTCTCTGACCTGTTTGACAGTAAATGGATAAATCTTTGACACTTCCCCTAAGTGTCAAAGATACTTTTTCTGCTGGTGTAAGTAATGTTAAAAAAAAAATAGGAGAGTTGTTTAGCAACAAATAGTTGTTTAGCAACTTTGAATTAATTTCTTAGTCCGAAAGATTGTCTGGTTAAAATTAGTGGTGAATTTTGCACATGCAAGACAGTATGGCAACCAAATTCTAGAGCAGTTATAATGAACTGGGCAGATCTAGCCTTGCTGTATTCTCTGTTGGTGTTCCAAATGAGCAGTTAATAAAGTCTTTGGGGGGATATAAACATTAAGCAGTTCTAAGCTGCTTGAAACACATAAGAATCTAGCTTTACTCTTTCAGAAGTATACATGCTGAGAAGTTCTTTTAAATGTTTCCTTAAAACTTGAGCAAAATTCTGATACGTATATAGCATTGAAAAATCCAAATAAACTGATTTATGCCCTAGTAATAATCTTTAAGTTGTGTTTTTTCACATCATCTCTCTCCCAGAACTGTTACTTATACTGATTTAATTCCTGAAGCAAGGCAAGAAAGAAATCACCACTATTCAGTTAAAGTAAATAGATGTATGTTTTAGCGATAAATGCTTCTGTGTTCCAGTGTGAAGGTTCTTTCATAAAGTGGAGCTTCTATGAATACTGACAATTAGCTCACTATTCTTTCAAATATAGAGTTGTTGATTACCATGAGACTTGTCATGACATTCGTCTTTAAATGCAACTTTTTATTAATTTCACTAGGGAGTCTTGCTAAAAAAAAAAAAAACAAAAAACTGAAGCCAAAATATGTCTCCCTGAGAGATATCAGTGAGTTTATTGCTTTTTAGCAGCACAGTCGCTGTCTTAGTTTCATGTAAATTTGTTACAAGTGTCCGGACAGTTTTGCTACCAGGACATGCTTTAGTGAATTGAGGCATTTTTCCCCCTCCGTAACAAAGATCTAACTGTTTTTTTCTTTCCAGAGTAAACCAACTCTCCGGTTCATTTATTCTGGTAATAGAGTATAGCTAAAAAGCTTTACATTTTGGCTTTGTGAATAAAATTAAACCACAACCACTTTCCTGTCATTGCTCTCTAGATAGGATTAGGTCATTTTTTGGTGTGGTGGGGATAGGAGGGACAGACAACTGTTTTGTAGAGTAGTTGTAATGCTTGACAGGAATAACCATTATCTTCTTTTTCCATTATCCCAAGTAATGGAATATTTCTTTGTCATTTGGAAAGGTACTCTGAGAAATTCAGTAGCTAATGGCTGTATTTAAGACTCTCTTGATATTCTGTCAATGTGTTAAATTGTCTAATCTAGAGAGATTTTTCCCCAGTATGAATTAATGGAACACACACTTCTAAACCACTGCTTACTTTTTCCTTTTCCCTTAAGGTCATTGATTTTATTCAGTATTTTATCACTAACAGTTAATCGGGCAGAGACGTGTCAGCAGCTTAGTGGCCTGTGGCCACCTAGTTAGCATTGACTGGCGCATAAAATGCTGCCTTCTTTTTTGGAAATGTTAGTCATGCAGTTTACCAATCAAGATTTGGACTATTTAGAATAGGTAACTTGGAATCAGCATCACATGGAAGCCTGATATAACTAGAAATAATATTCAATAGAATATTAATTCCTTTGTTTAAAAAGCCATTTCTTGATACAAAAGAACATTAAACCTCTTAAGCCATTTTCGTAGCATGTGCAGAGGAGATGTCAATCCAACATTAGGTCAGCAAATACACTTATATTCACTTACCCACCTGTATCTTCTAGAAGATACACTATGTTGCAATTTTAAGAATGCAGGCTGAGTCACCTAAAGCCCATCTGCTGTATTCTGTGGGAGGACCAAGAGCAAAGAAAGAGGATCATTTGCATGAAGCCAGCTTCAGATTAATATTATTCCAGATAGTCAGGAAATGTATTGTCTCTAACCATGTGGGTTTTTTTTTTTTTCCCAAGAGACAAATTCTGCAGTGAGTTATTTTCTTGTCAGCAATTTCTTGTTTATGCACTTAGAACTTGATTTGTACTATTAAAGTCAATGAGAAACTTGTGATTAATTTTAATGAAAAGGATGCAGATACTCTATGGTCTTATGTGCAAACTGCCAAATCTATATACCTGTTGTCTAAACAATTTTAGTAGAATAAAATTTATGTCCCACTGGATTACATTTAAGAAAAAAATACGCAGAGTAAGAAATGGACTATTTCTGCTCCAAAGGGTTGGGGGGTTTATGTGACCCTCTTTTTTTTTTTTTTTCCCCTTACAATTCTGTGACAAGGTGACCCACTTAATAGATGAGGGGAAGGCTGTTGATGTTGTCTACCTAGGCTTTAGTAAAGTCTTGACACTGTTTCCCGCAGCGTACTCCTGGAGAAACTGGCTGCTCGTGGCTTGGATGAGTGTACTCTTCACTGGTAAAAGACTGGCTGGATGGCCAGGGCCAAAGAGTTGTGGTGAATGGAGTTAAATCCATTTGGTGGCTGGTCACAAGTGATGTTCCCCAGGGCTCAGTACTGGGGCCAGTTCTGTTTAATATTTTTATCAATGATCTGGATGAGGGGATCGAGTGCACACGCAGGCTTGGGGAAGGGTGGCTGGAAAGCTGCCTGGCAGAAAAGGTCAACAGCCAGCTGAATATGAGCTGGCAGTGTGCCCAGGTGGCCAAGAAGGCCAACAGCATCCTGACCTGCAGCAGGCATAGGGGAGTGATAGTAGCACTGGTGAGGCCGCACCTGGAATACTGTGTTCAGTTTTGGGCCCCTTGCTACAAGACATTAAGGTGCTGGAGTGTTTGCCCAAAGAAGGACAATGAAGCTGATGAAAGGGCTAGAGCACAAGTCTTATGAGGAGCGGCTGAGGGAATTGAGGTTGTTCAGCCTGGAGAAAAGGAGGCTCAGGGGAGACCTTGTTCTCTACAACTACCTGAAAGGAGGTCGTAGTGAGGTGGGTGTCGGTCTCTTCTCCCAAGTACCAAGTGATAGGACAAGACAATACAGCTTCAAGTTGCGCTATGGGAGGCTTAAATCGGGTATTAGGAAAAATTTCTTCATGGAAAGGGTTGTCAAGCATTGGAACAGGCTGTCCAGGGAAGTCGTTGAGTCACCATCCCTGAAAGTATTTAAAAGACCCATGGATGTGGTGCTTGGGGACATGGTTTAGTGGTGGACTTGGCAGTGCTAGGTTAAGGGTTGGACTTGTTTAGGTTGGAAAAGACTTTTAAGATCATCGATTCTATGATTCTCTGCATTTAAGAGACTGATCCTGTAGCACAGCAGCATTTAGATAAACTGGAGTCACAGATACATGTGCTCATCAGTTGCAATTTAAGGACCTAAATCATAATTTTTAGAGAGAGGATGTTGGAATTGCTACTAAAAACATGTAGTGTTTTCATGTGTTTGTAACAGGCTGAAAATATCCAAAGTGGTTGTGGTAGGAGACCTGTATGTTGGGAAAACCAGCCTTATCAACAGGTACAGTATATCTCAAGACAGGGTTTGATTCTGCTCTTTCTCAAATGTTATACTGTTTCCATTCCTCTCTGTTCAGGCTGGTACTTCATGGTTCTGTTTTGAACCACGGTTTTGTTATTAAAAAAAAAGACAAAGCAAAGCCTAAAGTATGAGACAGGCTTGATATACTGACACAGAAAGTTATGCTCCGGCACTTTAGTCGGTGTATGTTATATTCTGAACTATTTTTATCCAGTCAGATATGATACGGTGTTGCCTTAGGAAATCCAGCCTAAAGGCTAAACAATCAGAAGGTTAAAAAAAACAAAACAAAACAAACTTTCCAGTCTTTGAGTCTTGGTTTTGTGTTTTCTCCATACTTGTAGAGTTGTTCACTGAAACATTTTTAAGTCATCCTTGTGTGGGTACCTGTACTCACTTATACAGCTGCAAGACTGTAGAGGAAGCTAGAGTTTTTCTGTAGCTTATAAGACAGATAAAATGCAGAATGTCTTAAAGAATAGTTATTTGATTATTTACCAAATGTTAAAAACAGCTCTTACACTTTTTGTACTGAAGTCCAATGGACAGATCACTGAGTTTCTGTAGCTTATGATCATTGTGACAGCTTTCTGTCTATGTTTGTTTTATTATTTCTTCCACATTCTTAAACAGGTATGGTAAGTTTTTAATCTCGTTGTTTAGTCATTTGGGTCATTAATTATGACCTGAAATATATTCCTTTGTAACTAAAACTATAAGATACTGTATCTTCCTTGACAGTCCAAAGATATTTTATTCTGGTTATCCTCTCATCCTAAGACCTTACTAGTTGCATATGCTTTCTAGTTTGTTAACCAGTATCCCCTTTTTTTAATTAGTTTCTCGGTGTTTTTGTATATACTTCTGCAATATATAGCCATTCCACAGTTAGTTAGTTCTTTTCTTCATAATTTACCCTAGATGGTGTTAGTTTTGCAGTTATTTGTAGCTGCGTGCTACTAGTATTTAATCCCTTTTTTTAATTGCAGATTTTGTAAAGATAATTTTGACCGAGACTACAAGGCGACCATTGGAGTAGATTTTGAAATTGAACGTTTTGAAATAATTGGAATACCATACAATCTCCAGATGTAAGTTGAAACAGTGTGGTTAAGTATTGCACAGAGTACAGTCTCAGCGGAGCTTGAATTGCTGCAGGCTCTAGTAGAATATTTTTTTTAAAATAACAAAATAGCATGAAGAATAATGTGATCTGAAAAACAGGTTCTGTACCTGGACTTGCAGTTTTAGTAAAAAGTTTTACTCGCTTGGATTTCTCATCCCTAAAAATGTTACAAGTTTGTCAATGAAAATTCCTCTTGGATATCTTGTGCCCTTTCAGAATCAGAGAATCATAAGGTTGGAAAAGACCTTTAAGATCAAGTCCAACCATCAACCCAACACCACCATGCCCACTAAACCATATCCTGAAGTGCCATGTCCACATGAACACTTCCAGTGATAGTGACTCTACCACCTCCCTGGGCAGCTTGTTCCAATGCTTGACCACTCTCTCCCTAAAGAAATTTTTCCTAATATCTAATTTAAACCTCCCCTGGTGCAACTTGAGGCCATTTCGTCTCGTCCTACCACTAGTTACTTGGAAGAAGAGACCAACACCCACCTCGCCAAAACCCCCTTTCAGGTAGTTGTAGAGAGTGATAAGGTCTCCCCTCAGCCTCCTCTTCTCCAGACTGAACAACCCCAGTTCCCTCAGCTGCTCCTCATGTGACTCATGACTTGTGCTCCAGACCCCTCACCAGCTTCGTTGCCCTTCTTTGGACACGCTCCAGCACCTCAATGCCCTTCTTGTAGTGAGGGACCCAAAACTGAACACAGTATTCAAGGTGTGGAATATTTCAGTGGAGTTTTGCCTTTTTTACTCAAGTTTCTTGAAAGAGAAGTGGAAGATTTTGCAGCAGACTTTGTCCTGTTCTACTGGTACACCATTCTGTCATTTGAGTTTAATAGGCACAATGAGTACTGAGCTTGGCTTTACTGGGAGTTTTGTTCCTGCTGCCATTTAAATGAATGGTAAGATGCCCCATGATTGCAGCATCTCTTAATTAGAGAATAATCGATTTTCTCCAAATCATAGAAAGACTCGGTGTTTTTATTAGAATGTGAGCATAAAATCTTTTATTTTCAGCTTTGTTTATCATACTATTGGGAATCCTGGCCTTCTCTCACCTGCTTTGGTTCTGCTGAAGGATGTCCTTTGGTATTTCCAGCGGCTAGCAGTATTGTTCTGTAGAGGGCATTATTTAGTCATCTGTGCTGTAGTATGACCTAGAGCAGAAATAAGATGCTTTGCATGAAGTATTTGAGTGCATGAATCTTAAAAACGTTTTCACTTAGGAAGGCATTTTCTTCTGATATATCATTGATGTAAATAGGTGGCTCGTGGGATTTATTGAAAAATACTTAGAAATCCATTTCCCATGATTTCAGTGCCATTGTGTTTTTGCAAATTCTGCCAGACACTATCCTTTTGGAACTTGAGGCCCTCTCAGAATCTAGACTGATGCATCAGTATTTTGCCAGCTGAAGCAATAAGGTTCATGAGCTACCAAACACCAGGTTGCATTATCTGCGGAATCTTCAGTGGCTGGGTAGAACATGTCCATATGATAAGCACTAGTGCCCCCTCTTGCTGAGAGATTTCCATACAAGATAAATTTGCAAGTATCCGTGACTGGCAGTACTAGGCTATAACAAAAACACAAACCTCTGTAGTGTTGGCAGTAACGGAGAGGACTGCATATCATGTTCATTAATAAGAAGCACTTCCTTGATTTTTCTTTAATGGTGTCATTAGTACCTGGTGGACTGAGCTGTAGGTCTCTCATTTGTAGTGTACGGACAGATATCATATTGAGCAGTTGCAAGATTCTAGTATTGGCTAATATATGATTTAACTGTTATTAGCACAGAAAATTTTCAAGATTAGATTGTCCTAGAAATAAATGCAAATGACATAGACGAGGAAGAAATATTTTAAGGAAAGGTATTACCAAGCAGAATACACATATTTGAATTGTGTCTCCCAAAGGACCACTATTAAAAAAAAAAAAAGGATAAAACCACTGTTCAAATGTTTTCATTAAGTAATAGAGCTTTACTGTATTTCTATCAGTAGTTAATGAGTAATATGTTCCAGATGGTAACACTTCTCTGGTATCAGATTCTTCTCCAACTTGTACCAGTCTCCTGCTTCATTAGCATGTTTACTCAGGTTACACTCGGTTTCATTAACCTGAAATTTCTTTTTTTCCCCTGTTGCACAGATGGGACACAGCAGGACAGGAAAAGTTCAAGTGCATTGCATCTGCTTACTACCGAGGAGCAGAGGGTAAGAACAATATTAACTGATCCTGGATGTGACAGGAGGTTGTACTTTATACAGAAACATATATGCATATGTGCTCCTTGGAAATGTGCCTGTAGACACAGTGTGGTGGAATGGCTTCTCTGTTAATGAAGAGGAGAAGGGACTAAAAAGCCCATTAATCGATACATTGTCACACCTGCATCTCTGAATGTTCTGATGATGCAGTGATAAAAATTGGCACTTGTGTCTAGGGGGAAAAGAAATTTTGTTTGGGTGAGATTAGTTGAAGTTAGAAGTGGATACTTCTGGCAGCTCCTTTGATCCAAGGCAATTTCTGCAGGAATTAAATCGCCCCAGAATAAAAGGAGTAATAGCACTATAGACTGCAGACTATGAAGACTGAGGACTGCAGTCTTACTGGGTGCTGGAGAAGGAAAAGGAATGAGAAAATGGGGTGTTTTCCACCTCATCTGTGTTAAATCGGCTCTTGCACTTCATATGCAAACATTCTCTCTGTTTAACAAGATGAGTTGGAGAGACTTCTGATACACTTTCTAACTTAATTACTTTTTTTCTGTTTTTGTGTTTTATTGCAGTTATAATAACAGTGTTTGATCTGGCTGATATCCAAACTTTGGATCACACCAAGTAAGTTTCTGTATTTTAGCTTAGCCTTCAAGGATTTTGCAGCGGGTTTAACTGCCTTGCATAGACTGTAGTTGCTCTGAACTTGCTGGATCGTGAGTGTATTTTCTATTGGGCTAAGAATGACAGTCACTTTTTTGGATTATGTAGGGTGGGATTTTTCTGAAGAAAATGCAGAGCATAAATTTGAACTACTTACCCTTGACTTCCTTTATAGTCAGTGCAGAGACAAAGGTACTTCACTAAGAGCTTGGCCCTTCCAAAACTAGACATGCAGGAAGAGATGAAGTGCACCCCCAAAAGCATCCTCTTTTTTTTTCTCCATTTGCTAGAAACAGAACAACAGGCTGGCATCTGAAGTAAGTGGCGAAATGGATGAGATGTGTCTCATGTGTAATGTCTCGAGCCTCTCATTGTCTAGGCTAGCCTAAAATGATTTTCTTTCTGTAGTTTCTGTAGTGATTCTGTTAGGAGATTGGCTGTCAAAAAGAGGAGGGAAAATCAAAAACTCAGAAATATGTGTAGATGTAGCTACACTTACTGGTTCAGATACTTGTAATGGTTTGGTTACACCACCTCTCTCATTGTTATGAGTAAACTTGTTCTGCTTTTAGCGCAGGCTGCAAAACCCTACATGGATCTATGATCCCCATTGTTGTCGCCAGCTCAGAGTGTATATATTTCTAACATACCGTTGTGACTATAATGAAGGTATATGTTTCTTTACAATCTGTACTCTGTCTTATTTGAATGTGTATTAGACTATTTCCTTAGAGTACTGCTGTGGTACTTAGCTCATTTACATAGGACTTTGTAAAATAATATATAATAGTGGCTCTGCTTCGCTGAAAATAATTGAAGCCTGTGAACCTGACTTCCTCCCTCTGCTCCCTTCCCTCCTTGACTTATGTTGGATGACTCAAGAGGAACTTGATTGCCAGAGTAACAAAAATACAAATGTTTCTGAGACAAGACTCATGCAGCCTTCATTGAGAGCTGTTTTATAATGCTGAATAGATTACTTCACTCTTCTTTATTCCTGTTTGTATCTAATCTGCTATGTTGTTCATATTTTTTTCCTCTGCTTCTTGTTTTCCTATTCCTTATCCTGAACAAAACTTTGTCCCCTCCCTTATACTGACAAATACCCTCTCCAGGTACTAAAGTCGTTGTTGAATGTGCACCCTACAGTGGGCATGTTTGAACTTTTTGTTAGTGGAAGGCACATAATCAAAGGAGTTTGAGTAGCTTCTGGTCTCTTTCTGTCTAGAAGAAAAGGCTTTTGATACTCTCACATAGTTCATCCTCTCACTTTTCTTACGACCCTATTATCTGTCACTTTCTCCTCTATTCCTCAGGCCCTCTGACTGATTCTCTCATTTCTCTTTTGTATTTCAGACAGTGGCTAGAAGATGCATTGAGGGAGAATGAGCCAGATTCCAGCTTCATCTTTCTGGTTGGAACAAAAAAAGATTTGGTGGTAGGTAAATTGATTTCCCCTAGTTCCTCAAGTGATTTCCCTTACAAGTTGTACACAATGTTGTTGAGATAAAGACCTTGAGGGAAAAACCTAAACAGAAAGAAAGAAGATCACAGGTAAATAGAACAGCATGTTTGGAACCAATTTAAGATGACACTTTCTGAAAAAATGGGTAGTTAGTGAAATATCTCTGTTTCCATTCTTTGCATGACATTTTCCAAGCACATACAAACAACTGAAAGGGCAGAGAAAAGTAGGGTGCACAAAAGAACAGAGTACGTAATGATTTTGAAGGTTGGTTGGTTGGTGTGGTGGTTTGGGTTTTTCTTTTTCTTTTTTTAGGGACAGTGTGTTCATTATTCAGGAACAGGGAAGAATTCTTACTTAATTGAATGTGACATCATTTTCAGAAGAACAGGATATAACGCACTCGCCCTATACCATTTTGAGTCTTGTGTTTGTCTTTCTCTGGCTATCAATACTTAATTCTCAAAGATTTCAAAACAACAAAAAATTTGCTGCTTCTGCTATCTAGTTGACTTTTTTTTTTTTTAATCTCCCCTCTCTCCCAGCTGCCACAGTATTACTTATCAGTTTTCACTGAAAAGAAGTCCCAGAAAGCTGCAGGTCTGTCAGTTTTTATGGTATTTTGTGTTGCTTATGCCGCTTTTCCTGAGTTACAGTAAAAGCTGTGCCAGACCTCTGAGGACGCAGATCTAAGTCTTGTCTAAGCTAGAATTCCTTACTGTAAGGTAGTTTCTGTTTTTAGAATGATAGCACTTTCAGCTGAAAGGGAGACAAGAGCAAAGCAAAGGATTGTGGATGCTAGATATTAGTTCAGGATGAAGCCAGTTATCTTCCCAGCTGGATTCACTCTACTCCTCTTGATGTCACATCATCCTTTCCAAATTTTTAGAATTCTTCTCAGTTGTGCAGGGGTTCCCCATTCTAAGACAATGCACAGAAAACTGTACGAACGAACAAGACTGGTATCATTGATGAGAAATGGGCTAGAAATTGAAAGGAAATAGCAATGCACTGATATGGTTGATCACAGAGAACAAATGAGAGGGAAAATGTCATGAAAATGTAAGTTTCTAATGTAAGAAAGCAAAATGCATTGAAGGGGCAAGAAATTTTAGTCTTAAGAAGAGATAAGAAAGAGCAGACATAAGGGGGGAAGGCCATTGTGTTGCAACATAGTAAAAGTAGATGGAGTAGAAAAAAGGATCTGAGACAGACAAGATTGAACTCGAAGAACCATTGTGATGAGTCGGTCCTGCAACTCTTCTGAGAATGATGGGGTGACAAGGATTTGAAGACCAGTAAGTGGGCTGTTGTCTTTACAGCTCCCTACTACACTGTGTAGTTAGATACAATAGTCACACTTGTTAACTCTTGGATTTTTTCAGTGCTGTGGGAGATGAATGGAGACTTCCATTTTGAAAGCAGTACTAAGTAGTTTCTCTTCCAAGTACTTGAATGCTCTTGAAAGCACGTCTGATTGTACAAGTTCTAAGGCAAGACCAGAAAGGCCACTGTGAAAACTGGAAGCATCACGATATAGGTGCTAGCAGTACCTCTATGTTATTAACAGCCCAGATACACTGCTTATGTTAAAGTTGTTCCATGCTATTTACTCAGTCAGATGCTGTGTGTGAAAGGACAGAGCTAGATGCCATCCGCTTTGCCAATGAGATGCAGGCAGAATACTGGTCAGTTTCAGCCAAAACAGGTAAGTTACTGCAATGGATGTAAAAATAGCATTACCACAAAGGCTTATGTTAAGGTGGGAGGAAGTTAAAGAGCCTTATCCCCCCATTCCCATGCAGTTTATTTTGTTGTTGTTGTACTTTGTTGCTGTAGGAAACTTCAGGTTTATTAATGGTTGATTTTATTTGAGTATATGTATGTGTGCTTGCACTATCATGTTTACAGAAAGGAGTACTTGAGCTGCTGTGCAGTGTCTAAGCATGTTTAATTCATAGGTAATTACATAAATACACATGTGCACTGTACTCAACATTAGTAATGAAAAAAAGATTATACCACAAACTGTGTTCTCTCCATTGCTGACTGAAAATAAAGGTACAGTACAGGGTACGTTATTCCAGAGAAAGAAAATGAGAAATTCTCTCTGCAGTGATCAGAATGGAGGACAGATTATTGGAGATGCCTGTTCTGTCCCATTCTTGAACAGTGATCTGTTCATAGATGTGCTTGTTATGCTTCATCATGTGTTGATGTGCAGTTGTAAAAACATGTAATTTCTGTCCTGTTTCCTAGGGGAAAATGTCAAAGAGTTCTTTTCCCGAGTTGCTGCCTTGGCCTTTGAACAGTCCATGATAAAGCAGCTGGAGAAAACTGCTGGGCCCATGGCCCGAATTGGGGCAGGAAACCTCATCAGTATGTTAAGTTTTGCTTTTTGTGTGCATTTTCCTTGTTTACAGTCTGAAGGATCAGGGAGGTTTTTCAAGCATTAAAGCCTGTATCAAATACCTGCAAGCATATTCATGTCAGTGTCTACCTGAGTTCTAGCATATAGAGGTGACTGGTGCTGCATTCATCTTTTGTTACATGTAGTGTTGGATGGTACAATTTCTTGTGAATTGATTTTTTTTTTATATTTTTTTTGTTCCTACAGAACTGGAAAAAAACATGATGGAAAACCCAGAAGGCAACACTCAAGTCAGCCTGAATTGCTGCTAACTGTCAACTGTTTCTGCAAGTGGCATGCTTTTCTGTAGCCCAGCATATAGAGCACCTGCAACAATGAATGCTCTCAAACCAGAAATAGAAAGTTTTTATGTTTTGAAATGAAGGAGAAAAAACTTATCCAAACTTTATTTCTGAGGGTTACCTTGCTGCTGCAGGCTCTCTTGTGCAGGATAGTACAACTGTTACACAAACTTTTCTCTGTGTTGTAGTGGAAGCATAACATCCTTGTCTTAATGCAAGAAGACATTGCCAGTGTCATGTGCTCACCTGTCTGCCAGAAACACTTGTAGTCAAAAGTTATGTAATTCTAGTGTGTTGTTCTTTGATAATTCTCTAGAAGCCTTCGATATTGAAGTTGTGTTCTCATAGTAGCAGAAAACAAATGGCAGTTCAGAATAAGGGGTGCTACTCTTATGTTTTTAGATCATAGTACAATATAACTCTTATTTGCTTTTATGCATTCTAAATATTTTAAAACTGTTTCAAAAGGAGTTTTTTAAAATAAGAGGTATGGAAGTACACAAATGCAGACTGCATAGTTTTCACTGTGGCTTCTCCATACATTAAAAAAAAAAAAATCTGTCTTATTTTGCATTTTCCACTTGAGAATCAGAGCCCAGTATTTAAATATTTCCAAACCTAGAAGTCCAGGTAGGAACTTCGTTGTTTTATCCCAGCTGTCTAATATTTTGAAAACGTTACCAGATAAGAATGCTATTCTTTTCTACTCTCTTGAATAAGAAAGAATGGTCACATAAATACAGGGCATAGAAAAATTAGATTTCATGTATTCCATCTTCCAAAGAGCATGCAGAATCCTTCTCTGCATTGATCTTCATTTATATTGCCTACACTGCAGTTCTACTTTGTTGCTAAGCGTAATGGCATTTTCATTTTATTCTAACTGGGGTTTTTTTTTGTTTGTAGCAATGTAATATGATTCCGGAACCATATGCAGTCTCAGTCATGCACTTGTTCATCCCTGTCTGTGATGGGAACTCTGAGTGGGTAAGGTTAGATTCGATACTGCTGCTGAACTCTTGGTCACTCTGTCTGCTTTTACTGGACAAGATAACTTGATCACTAGATGCAGGGAGCAATTTGCTCCACTGCATAATAGAAGCAGTAATATTAGAGAAACAGTTTTGCCATTTTGTGAAAAGGCTTGCAGGTGTGTGTGGGTTTAGAGGGATGGGAAAAGATGGAGTTCTCCAAAGTAGACACCTGCTTCTCAAGCCCTAAGGTACTTGCCATATGAAGATGTCATTACTGAATGCTTGTGATAGATCCTGCTCTCTGGACACGCTGCTGTGGCTTGGTGTGCTGGCTGGATCAAAACACCGTTGCCCCAGTTTTGTCTTTTCAAATATCCTTTGACATAACGTTGTGTAATGAGTTCTTTAGAAATTACAATCATTGTTTAATGGGGAGAGATTGGCTCTGGGTACCACTGAATTTTATCGAAGTAAAGCAGTTTTACAATGCTTTTCTGTTCTTCAGGCAGCAATGACCGATGCCAAAAGATACTCCTGTTTTAAAAGATTGCCAGGAAATTTGAATGACAAATAATGTTGCCACAAATTACTATAACAAACATTTGGTCAGTGTTTGTGAAATTGTATAAGTATGATTATGATAATTAGGTGTAAACTGAAAAAAATCAAAAGAAGTGAAAGGGAAATATGGTCTTTTTATTTCCCTGCATTTTTTTCCATATCTCACTGAATTCTAAGATTCAGTTCTGAGTATATAGTTAATGATATTTCTTTAAAGATAAAAGAGATGCTGTAAATCTATTGCTTGCACTAAACAATACAAATTTATGGTCCTTCAAAATTACTATAAGCACTTAAATGAAAGAATTAACAAAGGATTCAAAGTGGGACAACAGAAAGACTGCTTCTCTAGAAATATATTGGCAACTTGTAACTCCATACTTCTAAGATTCAAATCCAGCATTACATGCTATGCTGCCATTAAAAAAAAGTGGAACATCTTCTATAATGCTCTAAATTTCATACTGTAACTATTTTAAATGGAGAGAAAGAAGAAAACATATGGACAGTTACAAGTTACAGTTTCTTAAGATACTCATTCAATCATTACAGAAACAACAGTATCTGGAGAACTGGTTAAAACAGGACCTTTCAGATTTGAGCTGCTGAGAAAATAAAGACATTTGTTAATAAATCTGTGCATCAAACTGAAAAGATTCCAGATTCTCTGCCATTCCCCCCCCCAATTGTTTGATAAGAAATAGGAAAGTGGAGAGAAGATGACATCCTTTGTATTACTTTTGTTTTCTTATGACGTTAAGTTAGAGCCGCTTCACAGAATACAATGAATAGGGATCTAAGAACTCTGTTTGGTTTTTTTTTAATCAAACAATCTTCACTTTGGCAATTGTGCTGATTCTGTTGGCAAAGACAAAAATGTAGCATTTGGTGGAGAAAATGAGTATGTGTGGGAATGTGAGGAGTTATTTATCCAAATGTGTAATATTTTGACCTTATGATGTTCTATGTATTTGTTCATCTCCCAAATCTGTTTCACAAGGATGATGAATATTCCCTCTACTTGTACCACATGCTGCATTGCGTGGGCAGCATAGCCATGGTCTTCATGTTCACTGAGTTTGAATGAGAGTAGAAAAGATGGTTCACGCTATTGCCACGAATCATGTCTAGGCAAGGTGCTAGCTTTCAGTGCAGACATGTTCGTGTTTACAGCTGCAAAATGACTCAGTAACAAATCTAAGAAAAGACCAGGGTTACATTTTAAATATATCTCCTAAGTGTTTCTTTCGTTGCTGAGCTCAATTGTTGTACAAAATCAGAGATGCAATCTCTTCAGCAATGCAATCACGTTGCTTGTAAAATCAACTGGGGACTTTTTTTTCCTAGTGATTCAGTACATTGCTTGATGCCATTACTGGTTTATATCTTCTGGAGCTCCAAAAACTTCACATACAAATGCAATACTCTCTCAGTCATTAAGTCACTTGACAGTGGTTTGACTCCATCTATTCTATGATGGATGATCCTGGGACTGGCTTTTTTTTTGGTTGGTGGGGGTTTTTTTGTTTGTTTTTGGCTGGTTGGTTTTGTGGAGTGTTTTCTAGCCCCACTGAGACTTCTCCTGCAAAGAACTCAGTATTGATAATTGATCATCTAAAATGAATCTTGGATCATGTTGCAAATGATGAATTGCTTAGGAAAGCACAAAGGAAACTAATTTTGGTGGAAAAATAAATGTAAATTTGCAAGTTCTTAAATGTTTCCATCTGGTCTATGTTTTATCTATACATGTTAATCCATTCCTACAGCAACTTAATTATTTTTGAACAAGCCTTAATATTGTGGAAACCAATGTCTGAAAAACTGTATTATCTCTAAACGAGGGTAGTCTAAAACATGATTTTTATACCAGTTGAAGTCTTCACAGTGATTATGACAACAATTGCAGTGTCCACTTCCTTGTGGAATTTGCAGCTGAGAAATTGGATAAATGAAATTTGGAGGCAGTGTGAAGCAAAATTAAAGAGCAATTGTAAAAATCAATTTCCCAAAAGAAGTATTAATGTTATGCTGTTTCTTGTCTTAATAAGTAGAAGCTAATGTATTAATGAGTTCCTGTTTAAATAAGTATGCAGATCTCTGAGCAAAACAACTGGTAATGGATAAAAAGCCAAAGAAACAGTCATGTGACAAGCAAAGTTAATTTCTTACTATAAAAGCCTTTCCTTTTGATTTTTAGTGATAATGTTTCTGCCTTTTGAGGGATTATTTGACACTTAGGATATTACTATTTATATTCTTATAGGTCGTGTGATTCAGATCTTTCCTGTTGGTTCCCAGCTCAGGTTCATCTCATTGTGGTATGACCGGAGGCCATTCTTCATCAATAAATTTGTCCCCTTCTGTGTCTTTTCAGGTTTTCATCGATAGTTAGAGGTCGTTCTAGGGAGTATAATATAATGCACTGGTGAGTGAATGCTATAAACTCCTCTGTATCACATCCGCTGTGCATGCGAGTTAAAACGAAGTGTTTGGCAAGTTGAAGTTGTAGCAGAACCTGCATTTGGTAGTGGAGATGGTTGATGAGTTTTTTGTATTTTTGGCCAGAAGGTTGTTCTCACAGCAAGAAGCTGCCATTCTCTGAATTCTCAGAAGGCAAGTTCCCATTTTTCTGGGTTCATAGAATGATATAGACTGGATAGGACTTCTCAAGACTTAACTGGCGTTGTCAAACTCTACCACGGCTTTGTACTACAAAAATATGGTTTCTTAGTTTCAGCCACAGATTAATCAGAAATCATGTTTTATTTCTCTTTAAAAAGACTCCGTTTATGTCCTACCATTTTTTTTTCTTCTTACAAAACCTCTGATTCTCTCCTGTGGGATCCTGCTG